CCTGGCAGGGCTGGGAGAACCCCAGTGGGGCTCGGAGGGTTTGGAAGGAGAGAGGGAACTGCTGGGAGAAGGGATTGCATCCAGCTTGGCTTGATCAGAGCCCACGCTCAAGGGATGGCTGTTAAAAGGAGATTTTCCATGCTGTGAGAGCCAAAGCAAACACAGTGAAACTTAATTAAATGCCTGCCTGCTAAAATAATAATTTTCTTATGAATTGAGGAAGGTGAAATACAATGAGAGATGGACCTGATAAAGGAGCTGCAATTCCCCAGCAGAAGCACACGGGTGAAGAGCACAGTAAAGGGGGTTTGCTGGGGAAGGTCTCCCATTTTCCCTCATGCAGATCCATGTGTGGGATGCTCTCCAGGGCTGTGCCAGCTGCTGAAGCCCTCCCAGACTGCCTGTCTCCATCCCAAAGCATGGACACCCAATCCAGTGCTGCTCCAGGAATGGTGCTGTCTGAATTCCCCACAGCAAGTGGAAATATTAATGCTTGTCTAGAGGAAAGAGAAGGAAAGGAAAGGAAAAAAAAAAGGTCTCTGAATGGCTGGGATTTTAATTTTGCTGGTGCTGGGGAGAGGGGAGGCACCTCCTCTGAGAGGGAGCAGGGAACTTCTGCATGCTGAGAACTTTGGACAGGAAAAAATGTCAGGGAAAAAATGTCATCTGGAAGAAAGCCCTCCCAAGAAAGTGGTGGCTGGTAAAATCATCATCATCCAGACAACCCAGGAGAATCATTTCAGGAGGCAAAACTGGGTTAAAAAAGAAAAAAAAAAAAAAAGAGGTCTTGAACTGTGCACCTGCAGGATGGGGTGCCCCCAAACAGGAGGAGTGAGTGCAATGTGTGCTCCTGCTCCCAGGTCTGCAAACTGCAGACACAGAGGCCAGACAGATTCCTGCTGAAAGTGTCTCTCTGAATGTTATTTCCATTTAGAAAGGGGGAAAAAAAACCCCTTAGGATGGAGGGATGGATTTAATCTTTAAAGGGCTGGGAGTCTGCTGCCACTGGTGCTCCGAGCCCAGGGTGTTCAGCATCTCCAGGATCTCAGAAAGAAAAGGTTTCCATCCCTCCCTGGTCTGGGATAGGACTAATAAAATGTTGCAAAATGGAGAGAATAAGAAGAGATTTGGAGTTTTTCCTCTATTTTTGGTGGTTGGCTTGATCCCAGCACTGCTGGCTCCAGCCAGTGCATTTGGCTGCTTGGGTTTGACTCAGGGTTTGTGGGTTCAGTACTTTTATGTACCTCAAACCCATAGGGGAAGGGTTAGGCCAAACCCCTGCTTTTTCATTACTTTAATAAATGTGCTCATCTCCAAAAAGTTCAGTTTTCTAACCTACTCCAAATGCAGATATTCCTTCTCTCTCAATTAAAAAAAGCCAAACCCAGGGACTGAAAGACTGGATTTGGACCCTACTTTATTTGGCATTGAGTCCTGTAGATACACTGAACATTACTTCATGGCTGAAATTAGAGAAATAAACCCGCTAATAAAATAAACTAATAACTTTTGCCCCTCTTTGTCTTTCTCTGGGAATCAGGAATGGTTTAGCCTGTACAATAATTATACTGTAAGCACAGTATAAAAAAAAACTTCTTGACTCCTGCCATTCCCAGCCCTTTCCACCAAAGGGGGGGAAAAAACCCTGGGCAATAAATTAAAAACAGTTTTATTTACCTTGAACTACTCAGCCAAGAATGCACATTATTTAGGGACTGGAATAAAAAGCCATTCACTCTAGTTCAATTGGCCATTTAGTTCAATTTGTGTGTGTTACTGCAGGTAATTACTATGGTAATAATGTACTGTAATCTGTGCTGATTTGGAACTTGTCCTGTTTCTGTATTAATAATAAGTGCCATATATGTACTAATTACCAGTTTGTTACCATGGTTATTTGCGTAGATGCCATGTTAATGATACCCTGGAAACATAAAGCAATCACATTTTTGAATTAAATCTTTGTGGCCTCTTTAGTGCTAAAAGCCCAATTCACATAAAATAATGATGAAGAAAATGAGCTCATCGGGGCTGCCTCACCAGCGAGCTGATTAGCCGAGCTGCATAAATATATGGCTTTGCCATGCTGAAAAATTAGAGCCTCCAAAACATTTTCCACGGTTGCTAAGTAACTCCCCAAAGATGACATCACTTACAGGAACACGCGGTGCCAGATCTGTCATGCACACGTATTTATAGAGCCCGGCCCCGCCAGAGGTGTCAGGGGCTGGCTGCCAGCCAGGGACAGGGGGCAAAGAAACGGGCACATCCCTGCTTTCCCCCCCAGCCTCACCCACACGCAGCCCTGGCTCCGTGGAGGCAATCCAGAGGCGTTTATTTTTTGGGGTTATTGAAAGCCAGGAGGGAGCTGTGCGATCCCTGCTCGGCAATCACTTCACGCTGCGAGGCCTGCGCTGGCTTGTGTCTCCTCTTCTCTTCAAATTGGGCTGAGCAGCACATTTTGGGGATGATTTGTTGGGGATGTGGACTGGAAGGGACAGGCTGCTGCTGCTTTCCAGGCTGAGGGAACACTCCTGTGTGTCACCTCGAGGTTTTCCATGGGATGGACGATGAGCTGTCATCCCTACAGCCTCCACCCCTTTCCCTGCTATTCCCACACTGCAGCCACCTCGCTGGCCATGCTGGATGCACATTACAATTAAAAATAGTTCCTTGGCAACAAAACCATTCCCTTTTCCCAGAGCGTGGAGTAAACAATGGCTCCTTCCTACCCTGGAATTAATGGCGATTCCTTAAGCAGATGACACTGGGAAAAGGGCTGGGGAAAGCTGCAGCAGGGAGACTGTGACCCTGCAAGGAATGAGGCAGGGAAACCTGCAGGTCCCAGCCTGATCCCTGCTGCTGTGGGTGAAGCCTGGTGGGTCTGGAGCTGTTGCAGATCCATTGGGAGCAGCAAGACCCAGAGCTGCAGGAGGGAGAGGGGTTTGGGCACCCCAGACCAGCTGCAGATTGGAGCTGGGGGTCTCCTCTCTGACTGCTGGGGTCTGTCCAGGAGAAAACAAGGAGGTGGGGAGGAACATCCTGATGAGTGTGCCTGGGGAAGCCCCTGTCCTGGGAGGACAAACAGCCCCTGGAATCCTGGCCAAAAGCCCTGGGGAAATCACAACATCCATTGGTGAAGTGTCCTGCCCCTCAGCAGGTCAGGGATGAGGCATCCACTGGAGGGTGTCCCGAGCTGTCACCCACTAAGGAAGCACTGGCCCGGGGTTGTGGTTGTCCTCCCGTTATCCTCTGTTTTCCTCCCTCTGCTTTGGCCCAAGGCCATCCCAGCCTTTCCCTCCCTGCTCCTGCAGAACCCAGTCCCACGGCGGATGCCATGTCACTTGAAAAGCTACTTAGTGCTCTTTATTATCTGGTCATTATTTTTCCACTGAAGCCTGAGATAAGCAAAGCATAAATCAAACCAGAACAGGAGCCACTTGGAGCAGGTAAAGCATGGAAAAGATTTTAATCAGTGATTCTGGGCAAGAAAAGCAAAAAGAGGGAGAGGAAGGGAGGAAAGGGGGGGGCAGCTGGGGGGGAGAGAAACAAAGAAAGGGAAAGAAACACCACTTGTTGTTTGTGGGATGAAGACAAATGTTTCCAAAGCCACGTTTTCCACATGACGCCCAGTAAAAGCTCTTGGTTTGATTATTAATCACAGGGCAGCCTCCATCCATCACTCCATCCCTCCCGAGCTGTTTGATCTGCCACCCTCCTCCCTCCCCTCCCCTCCCACAGCCCCTGCACCGGCCAGCTGCGACAGGGGAGAGCAAAGCCCAGGAACTTTTTCCAATAAAGAAAATGCCATCAAATAAATAGAGGAGGAAATAAATAAGAGACCATCAGGGAAGCTGCTGCCGTGCCGGTTGGATCCCTCTGCCTCTTGAGACTTCTGGAGAGCTGCTGACACTGGGAGCGTCTTCTGAAATGGATGGACTTTGCCTCTTGCCTCATACATCTGTTTAATGACCTCTCCTCGCAGGCACTTGACATGTGATTTATGGGATATAAATTTTACCTCTTTGCTGGGGTGTTGCAATCCCCGCGTTCCGCAAGGTGAGAGCGCCTCGCCCCGCCGGGATGCCGGCCTGGCTCCCTCAGCTTCCTGCTCCAGGAACTTTCTTCCTCAGGCCCTTCCTTTAAAAACCTAAAATAATAATAATAATAATAAAAAAAACAACCCCCAGAAAAACCAACCCCTAAAACAGATCTTTTAAAAAAAATGTGTTTTTTCCTCTCTGAAAGAAAACTGCTGCTGACACAGCGTTCAAGGCTGGCCGTGCTTTTCAGAAAAAGCAAACAGCAGCATCCCAGCCGATTTCCTGCAAATAATAATAATAAATACGCATATAAATAAATAAATCCTTAATTCTTTTACTGGCATCTGTAGCCTCTAATTCATAAATTCATCAGGACTTTCCCAGGATGTCAGTTTTGGCAAATGAGCCCTGAGTTGCTTCATGCTAATGGAGCGGTGGGCTGCCTGACCTCAGGAAATAGAGAGGCCAAACATGAAAAAACAGAGCCGGGTTCAAGGCTGGGGCTGTGAACCCCAGATTTGAGGGTGAGGTCGGCGAAGGGTCAGGCGAGCATTGTGTGCAGCGCGAGGGAGAAACGCTGGTTTCTATTTAAAGCCTTTCATGCCGCTGCCAGAGCATTGTGTGCGGGAGCAGCCCGGCCATGGAGAAATGCGCCTGGGAGATGCTGACTGCAGGAATGGGGGGAAGATTGGAAACAGCCAGGCTCACGTGCTGCCAGCCAAAGCCTCCCCTGCCTCGGGAAGAAAGGGAGGGCGAGATCTGCCTGGCTCTTTTCAGCGGCTAACGCAGATGGATTTGCTTTGGCGTTTAAGGGTGATGGATGTGCCAGGTACTATTCATTAGGGATGATTTGTTGGGGCCAGCGTAGCTCGCCTGCCCATTAGGACGCATTTACTTCGCAGGTTAGTAATGATGGGTGTGCTTAATAGTTCCTAAGTATGGGAGGGCATTAAAAAGCCCTGGAAGAGAAGGCTATCGATATTTACAGCTTCAATTTGTTGGGGGAGGAAACCAGTGCGTGTGCCTGGAAGCGGTGTCCATCCCAGTCCCTGCTCCTAGAGGTATTACTATGGAGAAGGCTGGAGCAAGGGGGAATAGCTCTGAATCCAGCTGTGCTTTGCCCCCAGCTCATCCCAGTGATGTGGCAGTGGCAGATTTTTTGGCTCTTTCTGAGGGAAACTGAGGCCCAAGCCCAAATTTGAGTGCACAGACCCTGTTGGGTTTGCCTCTCCAGCAGCACCACAGGCCACGATCAGAGGAGCAGGAGGTCACTGGCTGAGGGATGATTATGGCTATTACATCCCAATTCCCTTCCTTTTCCCTCCCCTTGGCTCGGAGTGCTAACAGCCAGCCCTCAGCCATTTAGTTAAGCCCCGATTTTTCATTAAAATAGCACACGTGGCTATCAAGCATCACAAGGTCACGGGGCTGCATTGTCTCAGCTTAATATGATGCCATTAAGGCTGGACCATCACGCCTGGGATACAGCAGGTTCAGCAGCACAAGATCAAGCATTGGGCAAGACTGCAATTTCCTCCTGTCCTCCTGCTATGATCTTATCAAAGGCTGACTGATCTCCATGTACCAAATCGTGCTGGAGAGCATTAAATATCCAGAGAGGCTCCGTTTGCAGCAGCCCGTGGGGAGGCTGGGTCACACCCCGCTCCCTTTGTGCCACACCATCCCTCTCCTGGCTCAAGCAGCCAGGCTGAGAAATCTGTGTGAGTTCTTATTTTATCTTACCATTGCTGGTGGGTTTTATTTTGAAGCCTGACCTCTAATCAAGCCCACATGGGTCTGAGTCTAATTTTGCTGCCCTCATGGCTTGGGACCCTCGGCGCTGTGGCCATTCCTGCTCTCTGCAACCTTCAGCAGCCCTTTTATTTGTCTCTCAAATAACCAGACAAGAATAATTCATTTCTTCCAGCTTTTATCTTCCTGTCTGAGCTACAAGTGCCTGCATGAAGTCCCTTTATTTCACCACGCAGAGTTTCTGGCCCAGCAGGGCCCTGCTCTCCGTACCCAACGAGATGCAGCAAGGCTGGAGAACAATTATGGAACAGAAGCAGAGGAAGGAAAAGCCAAGATTGGGAATTGTCTGGTGGCTTTGTTGAGCCATGCAAAGAGGTGGCACTCACTGACTCCCTGGCACTGGTGCCAGGTGTGTACGTGTGCCCAGGTGGGAGGTTTTGTGCTCAGATGAAAGCGTGTCAATAAAGGCAGGGTTGTGTGAGCAGCAGCCCTGCCAAGGAGGAAACATTTCTCAAGATCCCCACCAGAAGGGTGTGCAGAGCAAACACGAGTGATGTTTCATCTCAGAGGATGCCAAGCCCCGCTGAGAGGGGGGAAAGACCTCAAAAAAAGGGACATGGTGGCTTTTTCCAGCAGACACTGAGCACACATGGTGAGGGTGGACAGAGGGTGGCAGTGGGAAGGGGTTTCCTTGCAAAACAGCCTCACCAACTCCCCAAAAAAGGACAGAAATGCAAAACCCAAGCTCTTCTGCCACCATTTGAGCCAGAAGAGCTTAAAAGCTAATGAGCTAATTGAGCAATGGAGGCCATCTCCCCATAGCTATGTGTCAGCTCCCATTATATCCACTCTGGAAATTTCACAGACCCTCTCTGGAGGTATTGATCATTTATTTTCCAGGCCCTGTGCTGCCCCTTCCCTTGGGCAGGCAGGGATGGAGGCTGACGGTGGCTTCCCCCACAGACAGCCCGTCAGCTGCAATTGTTTTCTAGTGAAAATAGATGTTCAGCATCGATCCCTCTCCCTCCGTGGAGTCCGGGGGCCTTCTCCTTAGTTACTCTAATAAAACACAACTAATTAAATTTGTGCCTTGCTTTTTCAATATTGCATTATCCTAATTACTAATTAAGGGGAACCACGTGTAAGGGGTAGGCATTATTCCCTGCAAAAGATCCCCCTAATGGCCTAAATGACATCTCAGGGAAGGAGGAAATCTTTCAGCAAAGGCCAGGACTGAGGCTTGGGAAAGGATCCCTGGGGGCAACTTAACGAGAGGCTCTTTAACCCTTCAGCTGCTGCCCTGGAATTTGCTGAATCACGGGAAAACACCACTGCAAAGCTGTCCTGCGCGTGGCAGGAGGGGAAAAGGGAAAATTGGGGTGGAATTTAAGGGAATAGGGGGATCTCTGCACAGAAAAGGGAAAATTGGGATGGAATTTAAGGGAATGGGGAGATCTCTGCATGGAAAAGGGAAAGCTGGGGTGGAATTGAAAGGAATGGGGAGATCTCTGCACGGAAAAGGGAAAATTGGGGTGGAATTGAAAGAAATAGGGGATCTGTGCACGGAAAAGGGAAAATTGGGGTGGAATTGAAAGGAATATGGGATCTCTGCATGGAAAAGGGAAAGTTGGGGTGGAATTTAAGGGAATAGGGGGATCTCTGCACAGAAAAGGGAAAATTGGGATGGAATTTAAGGGAATGGGGAGATCTCTGCATGGAAAAGGGAAAGCTGGGGTGGAATTGAAAGGAATGGGGAGATCTCTGCACGGAAAAGGGAAAATTGGGATGGAATTTAAGGGAATGGGGAGATCTCTGCATGGAAAAGGGAAAGCTGGGGTGGAATTGAAAGGAATGGGGAGATCTCTGCACGGAAAAGGGAAAATTGGGGTGGAATTGAAAGGAATGGGGGATCTCTTCAGGGAAAAGGGAAAACTGGGGTGGAATTGAAAGGAATGGGGGGATCTGTGCACGGAAAAGGGAAAATTGGGGTGGAATTGAAAAGAATGGGGGATCTGTGCATGGAAAAGGGAAAATTGGGGTGGAATTGAAAGGAATGGGGGATCTCTTCAGGGAAAAGGGAAAACTGGGGTGGAATTGAAAGGAATGGAGGGATCTCTGCATGGAAAACGAGTCAGGGGAGGGGTGAGGAAGTGGCTTTTCAAGAGGAGTGTGTTGGACACTCTGGCCAGTCTGGGACATACCAGAGCTGGGCCTTGGCAGGCAGGAACGAGGTCTTTCAAGCCTGTGCTCAACACCCTGGGCTGTGCCAGAAGGGCTTTGTTCTGTTCCAAGTGGCAATTAAACACACAGAATCACAGAGGGCATCCTCTGGGGGACTGCTGGCAGCGGGGAAATCTCATTTCTCTGCACTTCAGGAGCTCCCAGGGGCTCCAGGTAATGCAGCACTGGGACTTGTGCTGAGCAAGGGACACCAGATTAAAGCCAGGCTTAAAGCAGACTGCTGGCAGAGCAGACTAAGCTGGTCTCTACACAAGGATCTTTGAATAAATCCCAAACTTCCTTTAACACTCCCCAGGGCCTGAAGCCTGTGCTGGGCTCCCTGACCCCCTCCTGGTTGGAGATCACCAATATTTTAATTTCATTTTCCATGTGAGTCGTGGCTGTTCTGGCTCTGTAAGTCCCCGGTTCATTTCTCACATAGCTCTTTTTAGAAACGTACTTTCCCCCCCTTAAATACGTGGCTTGGAAGTGTGAGCTGAGATTTATGGTGAAAGGAATTGGGGAAGAATAGCAAATAGGCACTTGTGGGAGGAAAAAATAATATTTTGGGCATTGTAGAGAATTTCACAATACTGGGATTTGGGAAAAGCAGCAGAGCCACAGATTTTGGCATTTACTGGAGCTTCCCAGGGCTTCCCTTCACCTTTGGGATGAAGTTTCCAGGTCTCCATTTCGGAGGAGCCACCAGCATTTGACATCTGGGGAAACTGAAGCATCAAAACAGGGACTGTTACAGGGGGAGCACCTTCCAAATCCACCCCATTTCCCTTTCCATGGTGGTTTGTGTGCTGCTTTATGGAGCACTGCTACAGACAGAAATTGGCCAAGGAATCATTAATGGAAATTTCGGAAGATTCCAAACAATATCAATGTCTGTGATTTGGCATCCTGTTGGTTTCCATTCTGCCCACAAGTGGAGCTGATCACGGCTCTATTTTGGCTTATTTTATCTCTCCCTTCCTCGGAGTGATTGAAATCTTAATAATCAAGGATAATATCCACGCCAAAGTTTTAAGCAATAAACATATAAACAGAATGAAGAGAAGCAGAATGCTCACGTCTCTCAACAGTGCAAATGGTTCTGTTTTATTTTGCTGTAGCAGATGTTAAGTTTCCAATAATAAAATAAAATAAAAAATCTAAGGGAGACATTTAGCAAAGTATAGCTTTACACTCCAGAGTTATCACTCCAATTTCAACTGGGACCATAAAGTTTTATGAGCTATTAAATTGCCCTAAACCTCCTTTAACACACCAGCTCTAATGCTGCAGATTAACCATTTAGAAAAAGGAGGTTACCTTAGCTGGGATGGGCCATTTTCCTGCACTCTGATTCAGTCAATAACACTTTGCTGTGGCAGAGCCATTTGCTGGCGGTGTGGTTGGCAATTAGCCCTCGTGCCCTGCAGGTAATGCAGCTGCAGGAGCTCCCACCCCTCCCGCAGCAGCAGGAGCATGCACAGGATGGGCTGGATGCTCAGGAGAGCAGAGGGAGCAGCTCAGCTCCTTGGCTGGCTGCAGTTTTGCTTCCCCCCATCCCTTCACCCATTCCACAGGGATGCTCAGGGTTTCTTCTGCCTCCATTTCACACAATTCCAGACTGGATTGGGTGGGAGAGAGTTTAAAGCTCATCCAGTCCCACCCCCTGCCATCCAATCCCACCTTCCACTATCCCAGGGTGCTCCAAGCCCCATCCAAGCTGGCCTGGAACACTTCCAGGGATCCAGGGGCAGCCACAGCTTCTCTGGGTACCCTGTGCAGGGCCTCAGCACCCTTAAAGGGTGGAATTCCCTCCCAAAATCCCATCTAAGCCTGCTCTCCTATCAAAATCTCTCTCCAGGCTTCCTCTAGGTACCGGAAGGTGCTTCACGAACCCTTCTCCTCTCCAGGCTGAGCAATCTCCAGCTTCCTTTTTGTTTGGGTGGCAAATCCATCTGCACACGGCCTTTGACTGTGTTTTATCACCTTGCAGAAGAGATCTTGGATTCTGGCTTGAATGCCCTGGGCGCTGAAGCTCCCTGAAGTGAAACTCCCTGACCCAGGAAAAGGTGAAGTGTCAGTTCCAGTGGCACTTGCAGAGCTCTCTCCAGAGAGGGGACTTAAAAACACTCCAGCCACATCCACAGAGTGTCACAGCACCTACCAGAAGCCCAGGGTTGTTTGACTGATTTTTAAAGAGGCACAAACCCAGGAGCAGAGATCCGATCCATGGGATGCTCCTCAGCCTGTCAAAGGGGACCTGGGGGGCTTTGCCACCTGCAATCTGCCAAATCACCCCCCTTTGAGCACCAAACCTCTGGCCAGGTCATCATTTTGCCTTGTAAGGTAGTCCAGCTGCCTGGCCACATCTGGAAACATCTGTCTTGAGAGACCTGGGGCTGTCTCACGCTGATGACTTGCAGGGATCTGGCGTTTCTCCTAAAATTTCTGCTCTAGCTCCTCTTCTGCCATAAGCTCTGGAAAGCCTCTCCTGCCTGGCTGGCCTGGAGCCCTGCTGAGGGCTGGGGTGCAGGGGAGGGCCCTGACATTAAATCAGAGAATCCCAAAAATCACAGAACACTTTGAGTCGGAAGGAACCCTAAAGATCATCGAGTTCCAACACATTTCCACCTTTCCCTGGTGCTCCCTTGTACTTTTTGGGACCATGTGGGAAGCCACCAGCAGGAGAGGTGGGAGCTGCTCCCCAGGAAAATGAGCAGGGGCCACAGAGGCCAGGGAAGAGCGAGGCTGGACCATCATGGCTCGGGGTTAACGTGCACAGAGCCAGGGGACGGAGAGGCGCGGGGAGAGGGCGGCTCCTTCCCGGGAGGAGTTTGGAAAGAAAGGGTAACCCCTGCTCTATTTTTGAAAGAAATGTCTCAGAGGCCTTCTCCTGCATCCTGCAAAGGCCACTGCCAGGGATCTGCAGCAGCACGGGGGGGCTTGGCAGCCCGCAGGGGTGGGAAATGCCTCCTCCCAAAAGCCTGATTCCCATTTCCCCTGAGATAAGAACTGCAAGGACTGGTTTTTTCCCCCCTAAATTTTTTGAAGGCATTTCCTATTTGGAGCCTTTATGGACGGTTTCCCCTGGCTGAGGGCTGAGCAGTCACCTCCCCAGGCCAGGCAGGGTGGCTTCCCCACACCCACACTGTCCTTAAGAACCTTGGGGAGATACTTCAAAGCCTCTGGTGCCTGTGAGAGGAACAAGCCAGACCCCACCATCAGTCTCCTACATCACAGCACAGCCCACATTCCAGGTGGGGCTCCTCTGGAGAGCCTTTGCTTTCTTCCCAACCATCTGCTGTGGTTAAAATCCTACCTGGGACTTAAATTCATGTACAAGTTGGTGCAACAACCCAGCGTGTTCTGGGGAGCAGG